TAACCACACTATGCGATGTGATGCGCATTTTTATCTTTAAGTCACAAAACTTTTATTTTCTCATAATAATAAATCCTTTTATCATACCATTCGTAAACGTCAACATTTCGTCATTTCATATTCCGAACCATACCTTCAAAAATGCTTTTCTCTGAAAGTTATAGGGTATTTCACAGGCACGAGTATCGGACCTGGGAAGAAAAAGTATGATCAGATTGATAAAAAAAACCTGTTTTCATCTTAAAAGTGTCAAAAACCAAAACAAAATGTAAATTATGACCCCCTTTAAAAATATACTATAAGTTAAAAGATGGCCGGAAACTTCAGATTCGAGTCTACGAGCAAGGGAATCTTATCCCGGGCCGTTAGCCAGACAATTAAAAAACTTTTATCACTATTTCAAGTTTGTATTAAGCTTCTCGTTCATGAAATATCTATCAGGAAACGAGCGAATTTGTGCTAAAAATCCTTGGTAGACAAAATTGCGGCACAACGATTCGGTACTTAAACATAGACTAATACATGTTTGTCAGCTGAGTACGGGTCGAAATCACTTGAATTTACTAAATAATATTACTATATACATTAAAATATAGAAAATAAGAATCTCTAAAGAAAGTCCAACACAACACATTGAAAATGTTGCAGGCTCGGTTTGATTGAACCTGTTCATGGACGGTACTGGAATTTGCAAGTTACCGTCCACGTCCCCAGCACCGGATTAAGCAGAATTCAACATTTAAACATGAAATGGTGAAATTTTGAATTTAGAAACATCCGCAGATGTGTTCATACGGCGGTTATAATGGAACCTTCAACATGACACTTCCGCGCCATTCCATGACAAGCGGCGTATGGTCCCCAAGTAATAGAAAGCGTGTATAATTTGGACCACTCACAACCGTCAGTAACATCTGATACACGCGAAATTCTAACACGGCCTTTAGATTCCTTTTTACGCCATTGTCAATCAGCTGTTCGATATTTTGTAACGAGTCTTCTGATTGGCCAATAGCAACGAAACCGAAACGTTTCACACAAAGATGCCTAATGGCGTAGAAAACAATTGAAAGACCGTGTAAATGTTAGAAACTCGAATCTCGTGTGTATCAGATGCTACTGACAGTTGTGAGTGGTCTCATTTAATGAATTTAGTAATATTATATTGTACATTCAAGTGATTTTGACCCGTACTCAGCTGACAAACATGTATTAGCCTATGTTTACGTACCGAATTGTCAATCAGCTGTCCGATATTTTGTAACGAGTCTTCTGATTGGCCAATAGCAACGAAACCGCAACGTTTCACAAAAAGATGTCTTATGGCGTAGCAAACACTTGAAAGACCGTGTAAATGTTAGAATCTCGAATCTCGTGTGTATCAGATGCTTCTGACAGTTGTGAGTGGTCTCATTTAATGAATTTAGTAATATTATTTAGTACTTTCAATTGATTTTGTGTGATTCAAGTGTTTACGGCCTTCTCTTATCTTATAGTATATTTTTAAAGGGGACCATAATTTACTAGTATTCATGATACTTTCTAATAGACCTCATGCTTACGAAATCAATCTACTCTTCAATAATTTCTAAATTGTCCACCATAATAAAAGATCTATTTCACAGCAGTCATATTCAGTTAATTTGTAAGTAAGTAAATTTGTTGGTTGGCTTGCTGGGTCATTGAACGCCGCCTTTCCTTGTTGATCTTGTTTATCATATTTTTTGGTTTGTTGGTTAATTAGTATGTTGCTGAGTTCTCTTGACTGGCTATTATAGACCTCATGCTTACGAAGGCCATCTACTCTTCAATAATTTCTAAATTTTCCACCGTAATAAAAGATCTATTTCACAGCATGTATATTAATTTAAAATATGATTATTAGTTAGTTAGTTAATTAGCTAGTTAGTTAATTTGTAAGTAAGTTAATTTGTTGGTTGGCTGGTTAATTAGTGTGTTGCTGAGTTCTCTTGACTGGCTATTATTTCATGTTGTTTCTTAGCTGAGAGATCTTTATCTCCATTTCTTTATCTTCCACTGTATTTCAATATAAAAAATGCAAAATATAAATCTGTTTCTGAAAAGTTTAATTTAAATTAGGTAAAGGCAAATTTACGCTTCATTCGAATATTTAGTCATATAAATGAAGGCATCCATCAAGTGTTATTATAAATAATGGCATAAAGCGGACATGTCCACACGTACAAACACGCACGCACATAAAACACATACATGCATAAATACATACATACATGCGATTTTATTGGATAGTGCAATAAAAATAATAGGCATTCTTAAAATTAATTTTTATGCTTTAAATAAATCATTGATATAGCAGACACACAGTCATTCACTACACTACAAGGAACATGTCTGCTGATGCCATTATTTATAATAACACTTACTTACTAATTAACTAACTTACAAACTAACTAAGTAACTAACTAACTTAAATTAATTTACATGCTGTAAATTAAATCTTTTATTATGGTGGAAAATTTAGAATTTGATAAACAAGATCAACAAGGAAAGGCAGCGTTCAATGAACGCAACCCCCATATGACCCAGCAACAAGAACCAACGGCAAGGAGCCCAGGCGGACCAATTATTGTTTGTTTGTTTGTTTCATTTTTCGCTTTTCCCAACAGTATTTCAGTCATATGGGCCGGTAGTTTCCTAACCATCGTTCCTGGAGAGTTACACCAGTAATAAACTACCTTCCTCCGCGCTAAGCTACCAAAGCATCTCCCGGGGATCGAACTCACGCCAGAGAGGTAACTGGATTAGAAGTCATCGACTCTAACCCCTCGACCACGGAGGCGGTAGAGAAATAATTGAAGAGAAGGTGGATTTATTGAAGAGTAGATGGATTTCGTAAGCATGAGATCTATTAGAAAGTACCATTGATACATTAATAGTTTAAATGAACAACAAGATTGCATTTGAGAAAAATGCTATGACACCGCATTAATACAACATCAAATAGTAGTGTAGGAACATATTTTGTTTTGTTTCTTTACAATTGAAGATTGTCATAATGCACAGGTCCCTGACCTATCTAATTCTTATTATCAGATTAGTGGAAAAATCTATTGTTAATCCAATAAAAGATCAGAGTAGGAATATATCAATGCACTTTAATCTAGTGAATTTTGTGGTGAAGATCATATTTCAAACAGCCTAAATTTCATGACTACATCAAAGGACAACACAGTAAGACACTTTGTCAAAATCTAGGTCAGCTGATATCAAAGTTAACTTTACAATTTTTAATATGTGCACATAGTTCAAATTTCATAGCTGTACATCAAAGGACAAGAAAGTAGGTCACATCATCAAAACCCAGGTCATCTGATATCAAAATTCAATTTTACAATTTAATTTTCAATTTAAGGGATTCTGTATTTATCTATTTTATGATCACATCCGTGTTATTTGTGCCGTGTGGCGGCTGTGAAAGGTCTCCCCGTACATTTAATCAATGATGTTATATTTTCGATCCTTGAAGATCGTTCAGCACGACATTATTGCTGTGCTTGTAGTATTTTAGTTTCAACTTTTCGGCATTTTCTAGTTGGGTGGTTCCAATATTCCTATTTGAATTATGTTGAATCACCCTTAGGATATGTTGCCTGCTTTTTAAATTTGTCTTTTGACGTCTTATCTGTCATACGCAGGCTTCATGACCTCTGATCCCCTTTCAAAATTCAATTTTATTTAGTTCCGCCCATTGTTTTCTCGTTTAGGGCACACGCTTTTTATTACTTGGGGACCATACGCCGCTTGTCATGGAATGGCACGGAAGTGTCACATTGAAGGTTCCATGATAACCGCCGTATGAACACATCTGCGGATGTTTTTAAATTCAAAATTTTACTATTTCATGTTTAAATGTTGAATTCTGCTTAAGCCGGTGCTAGGGGGCGTGGACGGTAACTTGCACTTTCCAGTACCGTCCATGAACAGGCTCAATCAAACCGAGCCTGCAACATTTTTCAATTTTGCCGTGTTGGGCTTTATTTAGGGATTCTGTATTTATCTATTTTACAACTAAAACTGTGCACATGGTCAAAATTTCATCGCTGTACATCAAAGGACAAGAAAGTAACTCACTGGGACTGGGCAAGGCAAAATTTTGACCCAAGGGTGTAATTCAAAACAATCTTGATACAGGTCCACCAAACAACATTTCAAGTCAAATATCTAAGCTGTAGCTTTCTCTCATTCAGAAAACATTTGTTTTATTTTCTGTTTTTTGGGTGTGTCCGGGGCGGCGTCCTGTGAACGTTGTCTATGCCTTGTTGATCTTTATTCTTTGTTATTTTACTATGTACATAATGAGAATCATGCCCCGGGGCAGGGCTAATTTTGACACCAGGGGAAAATTTGAACAAGTTTGGTAGAGGACCTATAGATGATATTATATAGCAAACATCAAAGCTCTATGCCTTGTACCTTCAGACAAAATTATTTTTTATTTTTTTACTATATGTACATAATGAAAATCAATGATTCCGGGGCGGAACCAATTTTGACCCCAGGGATATATTTTCAAATTTGAACAATCTTGGTAGAGGTTCACTTCGCAAAGTCTCATGCCATATATTTAACCTCTAGCCTTTGTCATTTCAGAGATTTTTAAGTTTTTACTTTATACATTTAAGGAAAACTATCGCCTCTGGGGCAGGGCAATTTTAACACTAAGGGCATAATTAAAAAATTCTGGAAACAAAGTGATCCCTCGGAAACATTAATCACAACACAAGAACATAAGAATTGCAGACTCGGTTTGATTGAGTCTGTACATGAGGGATAACAATCTCAACAAAATAACATAAGAATTGCAGACTCTGTTTGTTTGAGTCTGTACATGAGGGATTATGAATAAGTGCAACATCCCTCACGCCCCCTAGCACCGGCTTGAGCGGTACTCAAATCTCAACACTTTATAGTGTTGGCATCAATGATCCCGAAGAACCTTCACCTCCCTTTACGTACAGTGGAGTTGACTATTTTGGGCCGTGGTTAATAAAAGAGGGTCGAAAAGAATTAAAACGTTACGGTGTGGTTTTTACTTGCTTTTGTTGTCGTGCTGTTCATTTAGAAACAGCTAACTCTTTAACAACCGACTCATTTATTAATGCTTTGCGCAGATTTTTAGCTGTACGTGGTCCAGTTAGAGTGTTAAGGTCAGATAGCGGAACAAATTTTGTAGGTGCTGAACGTGAATTAGCTAATGCTTTGTCTGAAATGGATATTTCACAAGTTCATAGGTTTTTGCAAAAGGAAAGTTGTGATTTTATAGAGTTTAAAATGAATGTTCCAAATGCTAGTAACATGGGTGGTGTTTGGGAAGGTCAGTTACGTTCTGTTAGAAGTATACTGTCATCATTATTGTATCATCACGGCGCTCAGCATGATGATGAAAGTCTGCGTACATTCATGTGTGAGACGGCTGCGATTATTAACAGCCGCCCACTTTCACCTCAAAATTTGAATGATCCTTTATCTTCAGAACCTCTTACATCAAATCATTTACTTACCATGAAATTAAAACTACTGTTGCCACCTCCGGGTAAATTTTTGAAGACTGACTTGTATTCAAGAAAGCGATGGAGACGTATTCAGTATTTAGCTAACGAATTTTGGTGTTGATGGCGCAAGGAATATCTGCAAAACCTTCAAGTTCGTAATAAGTGGGTTGTTCCAAAGCGCAATTGTTGTGTAGGTGATGTCGTACTTATTATAGATGACAATCAACCAAGATGTCAGTGGCGTATGGGCAGAATTGTTGAATTGTACCCTGATTCAGATGGTCTAGTTCGTAAGGTTAGACTGTATGTTGGTACTTCAGAATTAAGTAGTGAAGGGAAACGTGATAAACTGTCATATTTGGATAGGCCAGTAAATAAGTTAATTGTACTTTGTGAAAATGTGTGATTCCCCGTCGAGGAGCCGTTTACTTTGTAGTAAAAAAAGGAACTAATCAGTGATTTCAGTTTGTTTGTTACGTTGTATGTATCATATTTTTTGCGATACTGTCGAGTGAACAATTTTGCAGATAAAATTTTTGCAATTTTGCTGATACAATAAGCAATTTTTGTGAACAGGCTCAATCAAACCGAGCCTGCAACATTTTCAATTTTGCCGTGTTGGGCTTTCTTTAGGGATTCTGTATTTATCTATCTTATGATCACATCCGTGTTATTTGTGCCGTGTGGCGGCTGTAAAAAGTCTCCCCGTACATTTAATCAATGATGTTATATTTTCGATCCTTGAAGATCGTTCAGCACGACATTATTGTTGTGCTTGTGTTATTTTTAGTTTCAACTTTTTGGTATTTTCTAGTTGGGTGGTTCCAATATTCCTACTTGAATAATGTTGAATCACCCTTAGGATATGTTGCCTGCTTTTTAAATTTGTCTTTTGACGTCTTATCTGTGATATGCAGGCTTCATAACCTCAGATCCCCTTTCAAAATTCTATTTTATTTAGTTCCGCCCATTGTTTTCTCGTTTAGGGCACACGCATTTTTTTACTTGGGGACCATATGCCGCTTTTCATGGAATGGCACTAACGTGTCACATTGAAGGTTCCATGATAACCGCCATATGAACACATCTGCGGATGTTTCAAAATTCTAAATTTTACCAGTTCATGTTAAATGTTGAATTCTGCTTAAGCCGGTGCTAGAGGGCGTGGACGGTAACTTGCACTTTCCAGTACCGTCCATGAACAGGCTCAATCAAACCGAGCCTGCAACATTTTCAATTTTGCCGTGTTGGGCTTTCTTTAGGGATTCTGTATTTATCTATCTTGTGAGTTTGATTTTTATATATATTTTGATGCTGCAAACTAAGCAATTTTTGCGGCTTTAATTTTTGAGAATTGGCCAAAACCGTAAAGTAATTTTGCGAGCTTGGTATTTGCGTATTTGTATTGACTTGGTATATTAAAATAATCTGCGTCAGCTTAGAGTTCTATGCCTATTTAGGATTAATTAAGACTATTTTGCGAAAGCTGCTTTTTATTATTTTGCGTAATACTTTTTTAAAAATAAGATTCCTTATTTTTGGGGAGCCATGTTACGGTATCTGTACGACATCTGTTCGGATTATATACTTGTTTAAGTATTTGCAGAGCTACTTCCCCTTTACTGTTTCCGCCATGATTTGATATTTTCTTGGGCGAATTTGTCGTAATTGTTAATTTTAAATAAATTACTGCGATCGACAAATATTGGGAAATGGAGAGGCAAGGAGGTAAATAAATAACGGATTGCTGTTTTCTGCTTTTTAATTACGATGGCAATGCCAAATAATCCGGATGTAAACAGATGTATTTTATTGCATTTTTCGATTGTTCGCAATAGCCGCCATTTTACGCCATGATTTAAAAGGCAATCGTATGTTGCAATCATATGTTTTGATTTTAAACTTTTAAATTGTAATAATTTGTTTTGATTTATTTCAGTTTTCACGGAGACTGTTGGACACAATTAAATATCATTCAATCAACAAGTCTTTTGTTTGTTGCCCTTGCAATTCTCCACCACCAGGCACCACCAATTTCTGCGAAAACTACAACACAGTTGTTGTAATAGTATCTGTAGCTGGATGTAAATATGTAGGTGACCGGTTACTAATATTAAATAAACAAAGCTGAAAGTTATTTAATAAACAAAGCTGAAAGTTATCTATCTATTTTTCAGTTATATTACCCTTGTTATTTGTAGATATACTACCCACATAGGATTGTGAGCATAAAAGTCGCCTAAGAGAAGGAAAGTTGATGGTAATTGTCGGACAATACTATCAAGTTCATCACTTGTTATCGTTATATTTGGAGGAAGGTATAGAGAACAAATTGTTAGAGGTCGATGTATGGTCACCTGCACAGCCATTGCTTGTAATCTTGTGTTAAAATAAAGAAAATTAGAATCCCTAAAGAAAACACAACACGTCAAAATTGAAAATGTTGCAGACTCGGTTTGACTGAGCCTGTTCATAGACGGTACTGTCAAGTGCAAACCGTCCACGCACTCTAGCACCGGCTTAAGCAGAAATCAAAAATTAAAATGGTAAAATTTTGAATTTAGAAACATTCGAGATGTATTCATACGGCGGTTATCTTGGAACCTTTGGAAGTGCAATTCCATGAAAAGCGGCGTATGGTCTCCAAGTAATAAAAAGCGTGTGTCCTAAACGAGAAAACAATGGGGGAACTAAACAAAATGGATCAGAGGTTATGAAGCCTGCATTTAACAGAGATAAAGTTAAAAAGCAGGCAACATATCCTAAGGGTGATTCAACATTATTCCAGTAGGAATATTAAAACCACCCAACTAGAAAATGCCAAATAGTTAAAACTAAAAATACCACACACACAACAATAATGTCGTGCTGAACAGTCTTTAAGGATCGGAAATATAACATCTTTGATTGAATGTACGGGGCGACTTTTCACAGCATCCACACGGCACCAACAACGCTGATGTGGCGATAAAATAGAGAAAATAAGAATCCCTAACCCTTTCACTGCCATAGGGACGGCTTATGCCGCCCTGTTATTTTCGGCGTATTTGCCATATGGACGGCTTTAGCCGTTTCTATAATAATAATAGTAATAATAATAAATTTATAATAATAAAAATAATAATAAATATAAAGACAATTATACAGTCGACAATAATTATTATTATACTAACAGATTTGGAAACATATATAATTATTATAATACTAATAACAAATAATAATAATAATTAATTAATTAATAATATGGTAATTTCTTAGGAAATATGATGAAAAAGATCGACAAGGTAAAACCCTCTGGCAAATAGGTGATCAAATAGGTGATCAAAAAAGTAATAACTCTCTGGCAGCGAAAGGGCTAAAGAAAGCCCAAGTTAAGTTTAAGTTCTTTTTAAGGAACGCAATTTGCGATAGCAATGCTTGTACCACCTGATGTTCTGGCGTTACTAGTGCATGTAGAGTTATAAAGTGTATAAGCTTTTATAGAGATATTATCTTTATTTAAATTGTTATCTTTAAATCATGAAAGTCATTAAAGAGGTTAATATCACTTATCAACAGATGTTACGTAAAAATTGGCTAGTTTTTGTAAGTTTGGATCATGCACTGTCTGAGTGGATTGTATAAAAGAACGACACAATCAATGGCAAGCATTGCTTCTTTGACTGACAATCTACAAAGGTATGTCCTGGATTTAATTTGTTTTGATGTGAAGGTATATTCATAACATACTTTAATTAAAATTATGAATATGACATAAAATGTATGTTCTAGTGTATTTTAGTGTTTAGTGAAACAGTAAACAAATACAAGAATGAGAGATGATTGAATAGAACAAGTAGTTCAGCTAAGAGATACATAATCATAAATGATCTTTAATACTGTAACCCAGCGAATATTCGCGACCAATTAATATTCGCTTTATTCGCGGAATCCACGAAGCGCGAATATTTGTTTGCGCGAATAAGTCCGCACGATTTCGCGAATAAATTGGAGAGAAATTTTTATTTAGACGTTGTTCATGCAAAGCTACTTGACCGGATATATTCGAATTTTACGGGCACCTGTTAGGAAGTAATGAATTGTTATGAATATTGCCATAAAGCAATAAAAACACAAACGAAGTAAACTACTACAATGTTATTAATATCAAAAGAACTCTCTGTCAATATAACAATCAAAATAAACATCCACATTTTAATACAGTTTATGAAATACTAGTAGGCCCATTGTCAATCACGTTCCGTGATCACAATTCACTTACCAATACAATATAAGGCTAGCGTATTGTTAATCCCATTTAAGACACCAATAATGACCTCAATTATTGAAGATTAATAGTCGGCTAATGGATTTAACGGCCCCATCGGACTTTTCAATCCGCGAATATTTTTTTCGGAAACCAAGAAAACGCGGAAATTAATATTCGCGAATATGTCCGACCTCGGAAAAACGCGAAAATTTGTATTCGCAAATATAAATTGGGTTACAGTATGTGGCAATAATTAATCTGGATTTGCTCTTTATACCATTCAATGCAATTTTGTTAGAATTGTATACTCTTTAACTACGAGGGCGCGTCCGTGGCCGAGTGGTTAATGTCGTTGACTTCAAATTACTTGCCCCTCACCGCTGTGTGTTCGGAACCCGACAGGAACTTTGGCTTCTTTCATGTCAGGAAGCTATCCAGCTAGCTTACGGATCGTCGGTGGTTCTACACTGGTGCCCGTTTGTGCCTGAAATAATGCACGGGAGAGCATCTGAGGTCTCCTCCACCAGTAAAGCTGGGATGTCGCCATATATCCTATACTGTATAGATGTGGCGTAAAACCAAACCAAACAAACACACTACGAGCACTGGTTGAAACAATACTAAATTGCATTGAAATTACTTTATATAGTCATTAAGATTGAATAAATAAATAAATTCGAAATCAGTATTGTGAGCATATTACTATGATTGGGATGTACACATATTTTACCGGAATATAACAACAGTCAAGGTGAGCAATAATTCAGTTTGGCAATCTTAATAATCACCGAAAATAATCTAATAAAAGCTTATTTTCATTGAACATTAATATTTTACATAAAGAATATACTGTTTATCACTTCTATTATTCATATTATGCTAAGCTTTTTTATGGACGTACATAAATAACACACCGATGACAGTTTTATAAACTAGGTAGAACTATAGTGCGACATTTTAACAAATACAATTTTAAATATTAAATACAATCCGTTATGTTTAACCATTAAATTAACTCGTGCACTCAAAAAGGGCAGATCGTTTTTAATTTTAACTTTTTTTTAAATGTATTCTTTTTTTTTGTTTTAGCAAGACATCATGAAGTTAGCCATTTGTCTCCTGGTAGTTTTGCCTTTGGTTTTGAGCGTTCCTCCCAACTTTGACGAGAAACGATTTCTCAACATTCATTTGCCATCAGGTTCACATATTTGATCCGATAGCCCATATGTTGAATGAAAAAAATATTGCCAATTCAATTGTCATTAGGTTAAATTTTACCTTTTAATTTACCATTTTCAGCCGAAATATCCTTAATATAAGGCTTACGCTATGTTTTCTTTTCGCTTATGCATTCAATAATAAATCAAGCAGAAATATATTTTAATCTTTATGTAGGAAAAGTAAATTCGAGCCCATAAGAGATCATTATCATATTTTTTATATGACACAGTTAAATTAAATCAAACTTTATTTTATAAGCTACACACTTTTGCCTAAAACAAACTAGACAAAAATAGTCAACAATAAACATCGATAATTGATTGTCTCTGTTCTGGGAATGTATAGGTTTACAAATATGACAAATCGTTTTTAGTTCATGAACTTGGGCAGAAGATTGTCACTTTGCTCGGATCAGACACCTCAGAAGCTGCATGTGAAAAGGCCTGCCCAGCTGCACTGAATGCTTTAGTCCCAGGAGCCGGCCTGCTCGGAGGAAGCCTGTGCGATCCAGCTTGTCATTGGTAAAAACATTTTCATTACTGCTTCAAATTCTGTCTGGATCCATCTTCGTAATATATATAATAAAACATGTCAATGTTTATAGAAGTTTTTTTTATACATGCATCATATCATATTTTATAACGTTACATCGTATGCAAAAGATTTGCTTGGTGACTATGTGTATTGTGATTGTAATGAACTTTTTGTGACATTTTTAGCTATTACTATCTACCATTTTTAGCTATTTATATCTGCTATTTTTATCATTTCAGGGTACAGAATCATATTAATGGTTAAACATGATGTATAAAAGTTGAATTAAAAAAAGAGTTTGATTTAAATTAACCTGTGTTTGATTTTTCAAATCTTGTTTCTGGTTTAAACAAGAAGCAAATTACACCCCAACTACTGTTTCTCTCTATATGCATTACCTTTAACCCTATTTAGAATGTAACGGTGCCATGTATTACATTACAACAACGGACTTTGATAAAATTATAGATTTCGCTCTATGCAGACACTAGTGTAAAAACCTAATCAAAATTATTTTCAAAACAAATTAAAGTTGTGCCGAATAAAGTTGTGCCGAATATTGTGAATAATGTAAGTTTTAATAATAACAAATGGAACATAGAAAGCATAATAACTACAGTTTTAACAAAAAAGCCAACTTTAAGTCATTCGTTTTATTTAGATTATTTAATTATGACCACAATTGTAACAAAGAAGCGCAAAGTCTATAAAATACCGACAGCTAGCTATATTATTTTGCATGAGTCAGACAACATGTAGAAGAAAAACAAATGGATACATATGTTGTTTTTAAATCAAATAAGATATCACCTTTCCAGCGAATGTCTTTCACTTCATTTTTTTATTAAATAATACGAACACGAACTTTTAATGCTTCGCTATGTACATGTACATATAAGTCATGTAATACACCACTGACGACGGCATTACAAGCTTTATTATGCAGTATATTCAGCGTTATAAATATATTTATATATAAAAAAGCGATCATGTAATTGATTCCTTCTTATAGAAGGATCGATCAAAACGCCTCTAGGTTTTGCGATACAATATGAATACTTAGGATAATATTATATTTTTCCAGTAATGGAAAGGTTTTAGCATTTTGTCAAACGTCGTTAGCTCAGTCAGTATGAACTTTTTTATGGACGATTCTGTAAGCTTTGTATAAATGTACTGTAAAAACAAAGCACGATAGAACAATGTAAATCACACTCACTCACCGGGTTAACACATAATAAATAAGTGTACATTAGCACGATAGAACAATTTAAATCACACTCACTCACCGGGTTAACACATAAGAAATAAGTGTACATTGAATTTTTTCGTCCGTCGTCCGTTCAAATTTAGTTGTTAACACTCTAGCGGTCGCATTTTTGCCTCTAACATCATCAAACTTGGTCAGGATGCTTATCTTGTTGATAGCTTGGATGAGTTCGAACATGGGTCATCTCGGATGAAAAACTAGGTCACAAAAGCTAAAAATAGAAAAAAAACCTTGTTAACACCGAGAGGTCACATTTTTGCCTCAATCATCATCAAACTTGATCAGGATGCTTCTCTAGGTACTTGCTCAGATGAGTTCGAACATGGGTCATCTCGGATGTAAAACTAGGTCACAGGAGCTAAAAATAGAAAAACCTTTTTAACACTCTAGTGGTCACAATTTTGACTCAATTGTCATCAAACTTGGTCAGGAAACTTGTCTAGGTCATTGCTGGGATTAAATTAGCTTGGATGAGTTCGAACATGGGTCATCTCGGATAAAAAACTAGGTCACAGAAGATAAAAATAGAAAATCTTGTTATCACTCTATTGGCTACTGTTGTGATCCATATATCCTGTAAATTGGTCTGAAAGTTTGTTTTGATGATTTCTAAGTCAAGTTCGAACATGGGTCTTCTTGGATGAAAAACTAAGTCACACCGCCCAAATATGGAAAAACCTTGTTAACATTCTAGTGGTCACATTTTCGACTAAATTATCATCAAACTTGGTCAAGATGCTTGTCTAGGTAATTGCTCGGATGAGTTCGAAATCGCATGTGAAACTAGGGCACCGGAGCTAAAAACAAAAAAATCTTGTTAACACTCTAGTTGCTACTGTTTTGATCCAAGTATCCTGGAAATTGGTCTGAAAGCTTGTTTTGATGATTTCTAGGTCAAGTATGGGTCACCTGGGTAAAAAACTAGGTCACACTGCTCAAATATGGATAATCCTTGTTAACACTGTAGTGGTCACATTTTTGACTCACCTGTCATGAGACTTGGTCAGAATGCTTGTCTAGGTAATTGTTTTGATGAGTTTGATGGGTCAGGTGAGCGATCTAGGGCCATCATGGCCCTCTTGTTATTTCAAAATTTAGTTAATATTTCTTAATAACTTACCAAAGAAAGAACAACAGACTCCCTAAAAAAAGTCCAAAATAGCAAAATTGAAAATGTTGCAATCTTGGTTTAATTGAGCATGTTTATGGGCAGTACTGGAAAGTGCAAGTTACGGTCCATCATCTTAGCACCTGTTTATGCAGATTTTACATGAACTGGAAAATTTTTGAATTTTGAAACATCAACAGATATATTCACATTGTGGTTCTCCTGGCAGATTACTTAACATTTTGTATCATTTTAAACAAAACAGTTTGATGCTAACAAATATTCAAGTCAACTTGATTTTACACAACTGACAAAACTGAAGCCGTAGCAGTCGTAGCACAATTTGAAACAAACAATATGATCTTGCCAAAATACATTTTACACAAATAATGATTTAAAATTGAAGGGAAGTGATTTAACTATATATTTCTATTTTATTTTAAAAAATGTTCTTGGAACGGTTGTTAAAACATTGACCATAAAGAAACAAACATAACATTTAAGTAACGGGATAAGGATTAAGAAATAGATATCTAAAACAAAACTTGGGAGTGAACATTTAATGGACCTTTGTTTATGGTTGTGTATGTAAGCAGAAACAACAGAAATCATGCAGTTTACACCCTATTATTAAGTAAGATAACGGACGTAATCGCGGAAATATTTCATGCGTTTGGATGGACATTGTAATGTAATGACTTGTTATTATTAACAGAAACTTGGTGATCGCAAAGAAGTAATATTGACATTTATGATTACGATAAATTTGTATGCAACAGACCGAAATAGAATCGTAGATCTTAACATGACAGTGAAAGGATTATAGTCTACTTTAAATCTTGGTCATTTGGTAAAATTGAATTGATTAAAAGCGATATTAGGGGCATTGTACGGTTTAAACTAAATAAAAAGGAATAAAGACTTAATGTTGATATTTGTTTTTGTGTTTGTTACATACTGCCCAAGAACTCTATGTATACAAGTACAAATGTTGCTGCAATGCAGCAATTGAGATGCTCCGCGCTAAAAAAATGTACTCATTACAGATACCATACCAAATTATTCCTACGCACAGGTCATGTTATATTCAGATTAAGTACTATTGTAGATTTTTCCGAATGTTTTGTAAACCATTTTTTGCATAATTATACTTATCTTATGCACTGTCCATACTTAAAAAGAGGGGAAAAATATTTAATATAAAAAATGTTTTCACTGATGCCTACCTGGTAGGGAAAGTAATTCCATTGAATACAAGCAAGACTTACAAGACTTGTAAATGTTATGTGACATGACTGTACTGTGTTCTGTTTCAGTAACAGAAGATAGAAGATAGAAATATAAAAGTCTGTTATAATTGTAACAAATATACAAATAGTAACAAAAGGGATTAATATTTTGATATAGTAATATTACATGCATATTTTTCATGTCAAATTAGAAAAAAATGGTTTCTTTCAATGCTGAAAGTAGAACACACTCTGGAATGAAAAAATGGGATGAATTTCAAAAAGACCAAATTCAGGATTTTTTGTTTATTATACACGCGTTACATGGTGATACAGTATTTATCAATATAATAGAATATGAAATATATGAAAAACAAGATCAACAAGGAAAGGCGGCGTTCAATGAACGCAACCCCCATATGACCCAGCAACAAGACTGTTACCTGAATTTTAGGTAGGTATGAGGAAATTCACTAATATCATATTCGCGCGAGACAAAGATATGAAAGCTATTTGACATCAGTAATATATAAAAAAAAAACTATTGTTAATTAATTTTTAGGGAGATCAATATATATTTTTTGATGAATTGCTTTAAAGCCATTCATAAAAAAATTACACTTCATGTTCAAACTGCAGATCAAAGTTTCTGTTGTTGTCATGATAACTATCTATAGCCTATGCTTAAGGTGATTCCGCTTTGTCAGCCATGTTTGTTTTAACTAAAGTCTGTCCAAAGTGAAAGTTGGCCAAAATTCATATAACAACAAAGCTCTTATTGTAAAATGATGAACCATTTGAAAATACACTTCATGTTTATATTTAAGGACAATTATAAACAAAAATAAAAATGATAACAATAAGAATATTTACCTTGAATGTGCTACATTTCTGAAGACCAAAAACATTCTGTTACAAAGTTTTATGCACATTTCATGAATGGCAAAATCCTTATAAAAGTCTTGTTTTAGTGCCAACAAAAGCTATTTTTTGCAGCAAATACAAAAATCTTTCAAAACTAATCTCCAAATAAATCAGTATTTCATGATCTTCTAAGCACATGGCCACCATTATTTTTTGTAAAAAAGTAGTGCAAGAAAACAATCATCATTTATAGCCTTATGAACTACAATTAAATGAAAACACAATCAAACTTTAAAATCTCACATTTTTATGTGTAACAGTGAAGTGTGTCATGTACACAAGAAATAGGTAAATGATGTTTATTTTCATGGTACTGCTTTTTTACACATGTCATGGAGGCCATGTTTTTCAGGTCAGATAAACTACTTTCCTAAGATTTGTGTTTTTTAAGTTTTTTTTTGTATTTTCTGCAAAAAAATAGCATTTGTTTGCACTAAAATAGACTTTAAACTGGATTTTGGCATTCATGAAATGTGCATAAAGATTTGCAACAGAATGATTTTGGTCTTCAGAAATGAAGCCCATTCAAGGTAAATTCCTTATTGTTATCATTTTTATATTTTGTTTAAAATAGTCTATAAAACATAGAATTGGAAGTGTACTTGCAAATGGCTCATCAAACAACAATGCGAGCTTTGTTGTTATGTGAATTTTGGCCTACTTTCACTTTGCACAGACTTTGTAAAACCAAACTTGGCTGACAAAGCGGAATCACCTAAAAGACGGTCCATCCGCTCGTAAAGATACGAAATGCAGCTTTCGTTGTCGAGTACGGACCCCC